CGGAGCGGAGCGGATATCCATTTCTTAAATTTTAATATTTGTGATTTGCTTTGTTTTTAACGGATATTGAATTTTAGTATTTGCTTTGCTAGCTTTAGAAAGTTATGAATATCCGAATTTTTTGGATCGGATCGAAACAGATAACGAATCAAAGCGAATTTCACGGATATTTTGCCGAGCCCTAATTAAATAATTGTGACATTGCCGACAATGTTGAAAGTAAACCACTTTTTTTTATGTCTTTTCTTTTATGATAAAGACTACAGAGGCCAACTTGCTAAACACTACAGGCAACAACATTGTTTGTCGGGTCAAAATCTTATACAGTTGTGTTTAGCAAGTTGGCCTCTGTAGTCTTTATCAGAAAAGAAAAGACATAAAAACGTGGTTTACGTTAATAATGGAGTCTCTTATACAGTTGTGTTTAGCAAGTCGTGTGAAGATAAATTGTATGATTCATAGTTCATTTCTAAAGAAGGAAAACCAAAAAAACCATGGAAGTAAGCAAATATTTTTCTGCTTCTAAGCCCTTGTGTCTTTCGTCAGATCCACGTAATCGTCACAATCTTTGCCGACGATATGATCCTCCACTCTCCATTTGTTTTGTCTGCAAAGGCCAACACTTGGAAGATAAAAGGTACTATTACTATTGTGCTACTTGTGATTTGGAATTTCACAGAGGTTGTCACTATTTTCCTTCCCAAATCAGACATCCTTTTCACCTTCTCCACCCTCTCAGTCTCACCTCCTCAAATCCTAATTTGGATACATCCAGACTCCCTAGTGCTTGGAAATCATCATCCTCTGATTCAGAAGACTATGACTCATACACATATGAAGAAGAAGAATCTATATCAGATGGAAATCATGTTATATGCAATTATTGTCAGAGGCGCCTTCAAAATGAAGACGACCGATATCCATTCTATCAATGTTCTATCTGCAATTTCAGCCTACACATCATTTGCTCCATGAATCGACCACCTCTCACCATTGAAAACCTAAGAAGCCATGACCACACTCTTACCCTCTTTCCTAGAGCAGTCCCTTTACCCTGTAATGCTTGTGGCTTCTCTCTTGGCGCTACCTCGGATCCTGTTTTCTCTTGTATGCTTTGTAACTACATGGTCCATAGAACATGTATCTACTTACCTCGTGTCATTAAGATCACCCGTCACCCACATCGTCTCTCTTACACTTCCTCCATTGTTCCTTGTGATGATGAGTTCTCTTGTGGAGTTTGTCGCAAAACCGTTGACGTTAACTATGGGCAATACTCTTGCAATAAGGGATGCCACTATGCTGTTCATTCAAAATGTGCAACAAAGAACGAGGTGTGGGATGGGAAAGATCTTGAAGGAGTGCCTGAAGAGGAAGAGGAAGATGTTGAGCCATTCGTGAGGATTGATGAAGAGACAATACAACATTTCAGCCATGATCAACACCACCTAAAGATTTATMGGAATGACAAGCATGAAAACAAGTTTTGCCAAGCCTGCATCCTTTCGATAACAGTTTCAGATCGCTTCTATAGTTGTATCCAATGCGATTTTGTTCTCCATCAAGAATGTGCATCTCTTCCTCGCAAAAAAAACCATCCCCTACATAAACACTCGCTCACCCTCTTCCATCCATTCTCTTCTAATCCTTGTGAGCTTGGACCGAAATATTGTAGCAGAGGTTTCTTCCTGTGCAATGGTTGTGGTAGAGATAGTTGTGGTTTCGTGTACAAATGCAGGGAAAAAGATTGTGACTTTCAACTAGATGCAAGGTGCGCTTCGCGTCCTGATCCTTTAAGCCACGATTCACATGATCACCCTCTCTTCTTCAATTGGACTGAAGGTAGATGCATGGGTTGCAAGGATGAATACTGCTCCACCAAGTACTTAGAATGTATTGAGTGCAACTTATTTTTGGGTCTTAAATGTGCTACTTTTCCGTGTGTGGCTCACTACAAGCACGATAAACACCCACTCACTCTTTGCTACGGAGAAGAAGAGACGAAAGATCTCAACTATTGGTGTGAGATATGTGAAACGAAATTAGATGCAACAAAGTGGTTCTACACATGTGACTCTTGTAGAGTCACTCTTCACGTTGCATGTTTACTAGGAAAGGAGATCTACATGAAACCAGACCATATCATCAGAATATATTTTAAAAAGGTGTATAATATTGCACGCAACAATGGTAACACTAGACCAGTGTGTGATAGATGTAGAGGTCGTTGCATATACAGCTTGGTATTCAAGAGGCGAGATAGAATCTTTTGTAGCGTGTCTTGTAAGACCATCCACATTCGACATATTTTGTGGATGTCTTTAAATAAACAAATATTAAAAACACACTCTATCTTCCTTTTATTCAACTTTATACCTTCTCTTTCATCTTTTTACTCAACTTTTATTAATTTTATATTTAAACACACTTCAACTTTCATCCATTCTCTCTCCAACTTTGTCTTCCACGAGACATTCTCTCTCCAAAAATACRRACTATCTRKTCTCTTTKCTCAAATTTTATTAATTTTATATTTCAATACACCCCATTATTTCAACCAAAAACACTCTCTTTCTTTCTTTTACTCAATTTTTAATAATTTTATATTTAAAGACACCTACAAAATGTCTCCAATGCGGATGCTCTAAATAACATTTTCTCTGTGTATTTTTTGGTTTGTTTGTTAATGTATCTTATTCCCTTCATTGTTTATATCAATGCCAATACGCGCTATGGGAAGAAGTGTTGAATTCAAAGTTCTTCATTGGTGGTATTAAAGGATGATCCTTACTGTTTTGGATATAGACTAGAGGAAATTTTTTGCCTAAACTTAAATTGCTTTTTCTTAAAGAGAATCGGAAATGAAATACAGCACTCATTAGTAGGACTGACTCAGTTGATAAAGTTGTGGAATATAATGAAAGAATAAAACGAAATCAGACTGTATTACTTTAAAAAACATTTTTAGCTCAGAGAAATTAACAAATGCATAAACCAACTGAATTACATCAAATGGTGGAAGCATGGGATTATCAAGAACGTTAACTGTATTTGTAGATGAGATTAATTAAAATATAATTTTACGATATAGCTAAATAAATAAATCTCACAATAAAAGCATCTACCTAAATGATCTTTCAAAATTAGGTCCAAAATGTTGTCGCAAGTTGTTTTTCCACACTGATGATTATGGGTGGACGACATATATCTGATATCTTGAGACATTCGGATTCATATTCGGAAAAAAGAAAAGAAAAAGTCAAACGTATTATAGTAGAAATAGTTTGGTTGTGACGAATGTTAAAGATAGATATACCAAGAAGAAAAATTAATAAGATCAGATTTGCTTCGTTGCATTCATTATACGAATGAGTTGAAGTGCTAATAAGCATTCTTCACAAGTGAGAATTGAAGACAACTTTTGTAAATTCGAAAGAGATTTGTCGCTCGGGAAACATGAGAAGCACTTTCTATTTTGGGATGATGGACAGTTTTGATATCAACCAATGAAATTAGTCGGACAGTAAGGCCATCTCCATTGGTTAGAGCATCATCAATGCAAAATTGCTTAGAAGGGTGCTAAAAACATATATTTAACTATTAAATAAGAAAAATAG